TACAAATTGACAACTGATCTTGTTTAGACTAAAATAGACTATTATATGGATTAAGAAATGAAACTGTTCTAAGCTAACCTAACATAACCAACCAAACTTGTTGTACTATTTAAGAATTCCTTTTGATATAAAAAAAGACAAGGTAAACACGGAATTTTTAAATGTTACACAGCAAGTTTGGTTGTTATGTTAGGTTATTTTTTTTAGAAAGCTTCATTTTATCATTGTTTGTTGATACTGAACAATATTTACCATAGTTGTCAGCTGATATGTTTCAATTTGTTAATATCGATATATCGAGAAAAAAACATCTGAATGTTCCCTTTAACAGGAAAGTACCAACCTAACTTATACCAATTTAAAATTTCTTCCACCTTGAGTTTATACAGAACGTGCAAAGAATCTTGCACGATATGAGTATCGTACGAGAATGCGCATGGTTTTGGTATATTTACGTACATTTTACTGTAGCAAATTTAATTCTCTTCTACTACAAAACAGAATGCATACTGCACACATGGCTCCGGACGCATCTCAAATTTATTTCACGAGAGGTTACTGTTGTCATTGATCCCTTACAAAACACACCCCCGTCGAGCCCTTGTTTACTCAACAAATCCGCCCATCCAACCCCGTCTATGATATATCACCGTGTCAGGTGCCGCGCCAATTTTTCAACCAGGATCATCTTGGATGTTTGGTAACAATTAAGCTTCGCATTTCCATGAGCGGCTCGTTAAAACCCCCTAACGCCTCTGAGACCATCTGCCCAATGGCTCTCGCCCCTCCAAAACAACTTTACCCGTGTAATTGGCGCGGAATCGATTCCCGCCAATTCGGATCGCTTTTTACGCGGATGTGTTTGATTGAATTAGCAGTTGTAAGTGGAGCTGCAAGTGGCTAGGGGGATGAGCGCTGCGCCCCGCGGACGTGTTATGGGATTTGTGTAAGGAGATTATGAACCTGTTAACCTCGAAGAAGTGGTGCCAGTAATTATTATTTTAGCTTATGTGTTCTCTCTTTAAGATGCAATACTTTATCGTTATCGTTTTATATGAAAAAAGTTTCAAAATATACTTTGCATTACTATTGTAGCATTGAAAGCCAATGTTAACATGTTTATATCCAAACCCCCATTATGGGTTCAAATTATTGGTTGGAATTGGACTTAGCACCTAAAGGTGGGTTTATTGCTAGTTATTGCTCACAGGCAACAGTCAATTAAATTGTACTGTAGTTTTTTGCTGCAACATCTGACACGTTGGTCAGTATTTTCACCAGTATGATAACCTCCCGAATACCAGATTCAACAAATAAAATCTTATCTGTGAGAGCGCAGAGCCTACCTTCTAAGCTAGACGAATAGCAATAGTTTCAGTGGAGTTCTTCACTTGAATTATTTCAAAATTTATAGTAACAGAACTACCCAGGTCACGGGCACTCGGACACTCAACCCTTCAGCGTTCTATAAGAAACAAGTGGCAATGTTTGGAAGGGGCTGTTTTGTGTTTAGGGGGATTTCAGGGGCTGGTGGGCGGGTTAATTAGGCCAAGTTTAGTGGCAAAGGCTTAACAATTAGGGGCGGCGCGCATTAATCAACAAGGGATTACATTTTACACGCTGTCGCCTCCCCTTGATAGATGCACCCTTCCACTATCATAGACTCTGTATGGTCTATTGAATCAGGGGCTCGCTGGTAAAAAAATCAATTTATTCAGAATCTGTGCATTACATTAACGCTTCACGGCTATTAGTTTTGAGGGGTTTTATTTACTTCGTATACATACTTAATGCATGCTGTTATCAATTTTTAAATGATAAAAATTGAATAAAATTGGCATAAACTGTTTATTTAGAAATATATTAAAGTTATTTTTAGTAAAATTATTTATAATAGGAACGAGCTGGTGGCCCGTCCTACGTACGGGAATCGAGTTGTCATCTAAAACGGAATACTGTAATTCAGAACATCTAGTTTACACGCATAGACACAAATTCTGGCACTTTTAATGGGGAAGATCACCTTATAAACAAATGTTACGTGACCACCTATTTATTCCATTCGAATATAGACCTAAAATATATGGCGATATGCATTTTAAATCCGATAATTTTACCATAAAAGAGCATTTGTGTCGATTTGAAAAATCTTGAAGTGAGATTGGCGACCGATTCACACTGGTTTTGAGTAGAGTAGCTACATGCCACCTCTAATTGCATACTGTACTACTTATGTACTTACCGTACCTTATCTTACCTCCGTGACCACTGAAACTTTTATGAGGATTCTCTTCTATCACCTGCCTCTTCAAAATTTAGATCCCAGCCTGAATATGCATTTCATAACTTGACATTTCCCGTCTATCGTGTGGTACTCCTTGGAATATACTTTTTAAAAGTTTATGCAAAGCCTTTCCATCCAAGCTTTACCTACTCCTGGAAAGCATCCCTATATTTGGGTGTTAACACATTTCTCTTAGCTCTCTGTTCTTTTTTATTTCGACCTCCGGGCCGTTATCTTGAACTGGTCTGTATATTTTCTCTGCACTTTATTATCTAACCCAGCATTAAGGTTTTTCGGTTCTTTGATCAGTGCCCAAGTTTCTGAATCATCAGTACTACGGGGATAGTTGGTATGGTATGAGTCGACTTTGGTTTCTGCTGCAGTTTATTTGACAGCTTTTTAGAGACCTACTACACCGATTGACGCTTTCATTACTAACCAAAATTTTAGTATGCCGACATACTCACATTCAAACATATAGAAAAAGAAGTATCAACACGTAAACCACTTATATATTAAACAATTAAGCGATAAACTGCTGAAAAAATATTTCCCAAATATGAGTTGAAATTTGCAATGCATAAACTAAATACTTACACAGATTGCATTTACGACAAAACTTGAGTAAACACAAGTGTATGAGATGTTTAGTTCAAAATAACACATTTCCTGATAACGGAGATCCTTCACGGTAGGGGAAAACTACCTACATTTTAAAGTGAAATAGAATGTAGGCAAACACTAACGAACAATATTTTTGTAAACAAACAACTCGTAACATAAACATTTCAATGACAGTTATAAACCAGCTGTTAGTGAAGCCAGCATTGAAAATACTTTAAATTGCTAGCGTCGGCTGCTAGACTTTTTAAAAATTTAAAACTTAATTTCTAAAAAACTGAAACCCTAAACTAAAATTATGGCTTCGACATTCCCTAGTTCTCAAAATGATCTTTCTTTCAACACAAAAATCATGAATATCCGCCAAGTGGTTGATTCAGGATCGTGAAATAAAAAACCCTGTTTCGTTTGAATAGATGGTAATCATATGATATTACAACATTCTAAATCGACCTCTTGACGGAACGGATTCTTAGCTATATAGGCCTAATATAACAAAAGTTTTGTTAAAGTCGGCTGCTTCACTTAGGATAATTTAAATAAGAACCTTATTTTATCATGTAAGAAATATATGATAAGGTTATTAAATTATTCTTTTATCAAAATGCTGAATATAGGCCTATGTGTGTCACATGCTGAATAGTTTCAGCTATTCGACCACACTGCATCATAGTAAAAACTTGAAAAAAATGTTAGGGGCAGCTGCGGAGCTAAAATCCAATATTAAAATAATGACATCAACATAAAATTTCCCAAACTTCATTTTCCGGCCAAAAGAATAATCAAAAAATCCGTCAAGTATGTCATTCAGAATCTCAGGGCAGAAATACTCATCCACGTGTATTATAGGAATGTTTAGACATAGGAATCCTGGTGGTCTCAATCAACAACTTGACGGATTTTCTTGATTATTCTTTCGACTGAAAGATAATTTTGATAGGATCAAGGTAATGTCAAATTCAAAAATTTTAGGTTTCAGTTCAGCAGCCGCCACTAACGTTAAGAGTGTACCTTTCATAGTATCAACAACTAGTAGAGGATAGAGGATTTTTGACAATAGCTCAAATAAATATGACTCAGCTAGCAAACTATGTTTTATTTTTTATTTTGAACAAACTTAAACAACTGATCCAATATGTATGATGTACATGTCAGTATGTCCACCATGATTTCTTGAAGTGAATTGTAGAACCAAACATTAAAAAAACAATAATTCGCAGTGATAGTGATAGTCTTGATGTTTTATCGACCAAACTAAATTAATTGTATCAACTCTGAGCATGAAACTTCCGTTGGTAGACCGAGGGAATGATCGGCAGTCGGCATTGTGGGTCAATGTTTACGCAACTGGTTATACAAATCACAACAGACTGACGGCACAAATCGCAACGGCAGTTCCAAACCGGGGATATCGGTTGTAATTGAATAATAGGTTGTATCTGAAACTGTTCCTGGTCATGAAACGTTCCGTGATCGTCGAGCCATCGTGGCTGTCATCCCTGCCTCGTCATAGGCCTGGCCTACTGAGTACTCACTGTTCTAGCTTATTGTTATGTTCAAATATGCAATTAAATTACTACTAATATTGCCTGATTGCCTCTTTTATCTTTTAGGCATATACTAGGACGGTTATAAATTGATTCTGTTACAAAATACTTTTAGACGCACATAATAAAACTACACGATATTGAAAGCATGTAAAAAATGAAACTTATTTGGTATTGTATTTTTATTCTGGCGATGATGAAACTATCTCTACCGCACCAACGGTATGCAGATTAAATCATTTTGTTATCTGATCAAAATGGTGGTTTCAGTTTAGTCCATTTGTTAAACGAATCCAAAAAGCTTTACACGAAGTAAAGAAAGATAGGGTGGGGACAGAAATATGTGTCCAAGTTGACTAGGTGGAATGCTTTGCCTTTGTATATAGCTTTGTTAAGATCAGCCGTTTCTTAGGTCAGCACCATGTATTACAATTTCAACGATAAACCTAACATCACGAAGGATGCATCCTTTTGATGGAGACCTGTTTAACAACTAACACGAAGGATGGATTTTGTTTTATCAACTTCAGTTTACCATCTGTCCACAGCTAGAGCGAGAGTTCCGACCGACTCGCCTCGGCAACTGGGAGGTACCGTCGTGGTTGCCTCAGAGACCTCGCGCACGCAAGACCACCACAAAGATCATCGTCAACGACCGCGGACATCTACTGCCTGGTGTACAAAGACCTCCTCAGAACCCTTGGGGATCCTTCCGCGGCACCTGGCAGCTGCCGAACAAGATATCTAGGAAATTCGGTAAGTAGTGTTTTCTATTCCTTTATAAAAGTGTGCAACAATTGCTTTAATCAACATCTATGGACAGGTTTTTGGGGAAGCTGGTAACAGTAACAGTTTGCATTGGTATAAATAATTTATAAATAAAAAACTTTTTTAAACAAAACGTTTTAAAACGCCCTAAAAAGTAGAAAATAATTTATAAATATGTTGAGAGAGTATAAATACTTGTACGATTTAAAACGAAAAACGTGGGTGCATGCAATAGATAGTTTACAATTACCTTCACCTACTGAACTAATGTATTATTATCAATAATTAATTGCATGCACCCAACGTTTTTCGTTTTAAATCGTACAAGTATTTATACTCTCTCAACATATTTATAAATTATTTTCTACTTTTTAGGGCGTTTTAAAACGTTTTGTTTAAAAAAGTTTTTTATTTATAAATTATTTTATACTTTTTAGTTTTAATGTGTGTGCATACACGATCTGGTGAAATGGTATAATCTCTGGATACATTAAGGTTCTCCAGAGTTTCACTCACTAAAACAATTCCTGTATCTGTGCTCGACCGAGGAAGCATTTCAGGCAGCTTTTCACTGACTTCAAAGATATCAAGAGCAAATAAAGTTGCATGCCCTTTGAAAACCATATTGACCAAACCTGCCGGGAAATTTTATCACTTTGAGGTACGGAATGATGCGCTGAAGCAAACGTTGTTCTGGTTCAGTTAGTACCAAAATTTCAGTCGGGATATCACCTGGAAGTAAGTTATTCCAATACGCCTTGGATGGAGCATCTCTTTGAGCTCCTCAAGTGCGTATTGCATCTATGGCAGACAAGCAACTAATTTTTAGAGGAAAGTTCCGGTGGCAGGTATGGCTTCGGTGAAATGGAACAAAATTTTACGACCTGATTAGGGTAGCACTTTTTCTGGCAGATATCACAGCACTTGTCGCAAAAAGTGTTTATGGTTAGATGGAAATCAACTTCCCGTTGAGCGTAGGCCTGACGCTGACGTAGTAGTCTTGCTTCACGTTCCTGACTTGTCTCTCTAGCTCTTGATTCAGAATGTCTCAAACGATCCGATTCTAGTCGAGTAATATGCGCTTCGGTATTCTCAACCGATCTCGCTTGGACCAATAGTTCATTGGCATTCTCGCGTCCGACATTAGCATGTTTGGGTAGGTACTTGTGCAGTTCGCTTACGCCATTTTGCTAATCTTGCAGATTTACAAGTCTTCGATTCATGTTGAAGCTTAACTTCTCTTTTTTTCTTCTCCTTCTCTAGCCGTCGCTTGCGTTGGGTGGCTTTCTCCTTCCAATAAGCCGTGGATGGCATTGAGCTCCTCAAGTGCGTATTGCATCGATGGCAGGCAAGCAACACTTTTTTAGCAGAAAGTTCCGGTGGCAAGTATGTCTCCGGTGAAATAGGACATTGTTTCATAACCTGATTAGGGTAGCACTTTTTCTTCCAGATACCACAACACTTGTCACAAAAAGTGTTTTTGGTTAGACGGAAATCAATTTCCCGTTGAGCATAGGCCTGACGCTGACGTAGTAGTCTTGCCGATTTACAAACCTGCGTAGTTGGCGTACGCCATTTGGCTAATCTTGCCGATTTACAAGTCTTCGATTCATGTTGAAGCTTAACTTGTCTTTTTTTCTTCTCCTTCTCTAGCCGTAGCTTGCGTTGGGAGGCTGTCTCCTTCCAATAAGCCGTGGATTGAGCATAGGCCTGACGCTGACATAGTAGTCTTGCCGATTTACAAACCTCCGATTCCTGTTGAAGCTTAACTAGTCTTTTTTTCTTTTCCTTCTCTAGGCGTCGCTTGCGTTGGGTGACTGTCTCCTTGACCATAATATGAGTTATCATGCAATATTCACAAATAATTGATATTATTACATGTTTATAGTTTGTTAATCCGAAAACTCACAATATATAATAATTTAACTATAGTTTGTAATGGAATTTCTCTGCAATGCATTCACTCGAAATATTTATTGTTTACTTTATAGAATAAAACAAAAATTGACATTATTTACCAACACCTTGATACCTGCAATCAGATTGTTTATCTTTATTTTGAAATGTTTGTTTGTATAAAGAATCTCTTGGGAGCATAACCTGTACCTCTTAACCTCTGCTCTTCGAACTGTCAAATTTAAGTATTTACAGCTGACTTAAATTAGTTGATATATTTACATCCTTTCAAAATATAAACATGAACAATTTGGAAGCCCAGCCCATGGGGCGTAGCCCAAGGGAAACATTAAAATTAAATGATATAATACTAGATGACCCGTGCTGCTCCGCAGCATTGAAATTAATAATACAAAATAAAATACTAAACTTAATAAGGGCGGTACAACTTTAATTAAACTCTTATAGGGCTGCTGGATTAATTTCGCCTTATGACCAAATTAAAGTATAACACATTCCATATAACACAGAGAAAATCGTCCCGATGTATTTTTTCCGTTTTGAAAATCAATTAATCCAGAACAATATCCACACACTTACTAAAAGCACATACAGAGAAAGCACGTACATTTGTTAACTCATATGTAACACAGCGTGAATGAGGCTTTATTAAGAATGTTTTATTAACAACAATATTTCTTGTAAAATAGACATCTCTGTCGGTAGAATTGCATGTACGCATATTCTCAGGAGTAGTTCCCTCCATCTGGTAATCTTTATTAATATTACGACTTTTATAATACTTCCTTCCAAACAATGTTTGCTGTTCGTCCACCTTTTGATTTAGTTTCTACTTTTACAGTATCGAAAGATTTCCCTCTCGATAAGGCGACGTACAACTGACCGTGACTAAATACTGGTTCAGGCAAGTACACACCAACTCGATCAATCGTTTGGCCCTGCGCCTTGTTGATGGTCATGCAGAACGCAACCTTTATGGGGAATTGTCTTCGTTTGAAAGAAAATGGTACTGTAGAATCTGATGGAGAGAGATCAATGCGGGGTAATAGTGCACGTTGTCCAATATTTGTGCCAGTTATGATTTCTAAGTCTAAACTGTTTTCATACATTTTCTTGACAATAAGTCTTGTTCCGTTTAGAAGACCTGCTGTATAGTTTAAATTTTTTAATAACATCACAATGGCACCTTCCTTTAAGACTAATTTGTGAGAAGGCAAACCAGTCATCTCAAGGCTGTTGAGGAATTCAATAGGAAATTGCAATAGTTCACTGTCATCATCTGTAATTAGTTTATTCACACTTATATACGTTTTGCTTGAGCCTGGGATGAGGTCTAAAACTCTTTTATTGATTTCCTCACAATGCTCATTCTTTGGTGCTAATGTAGGTTTTTTCCATAAATTTCTGAAACTATGTCTGAATCAGAGATAAGTGGTGGGGGTAAGTCCACAGATTTGTCATCAATTGTTGGGTATTCCCCATTGCCAATTTCGAGCAAAAAGTTAGCAAAATCTAACTCATTAGTTTTAGCCCTCATATTTTTTGTTAATTTAAAAATTTTGAATAGTGGCCATAGGTATGAAAACTTAATTGAATTCTGAACAGTAGAGGCTCTAGATGAATGAGGCACAACCGGCAACACTTGCCGGAAATCTCCACCTAAGATAATGATTTTCCCACCAAATGGCACATCGTTATCCATTATATCTTTCAGTAGCCGGTTGACACACATTAGAGCATTTTTTGTATTTTGTATATTGTATCTTAAACCGATGCTTGTTGTGAAATCTGGACATGCATAACTTCAATTTGAAAATTCAACCATGAAAATTGGTCGAGTAGAAGAGCCAAACGAACTGGGAAATGAAAAACTAAATTTAACTACCAATAGAGCAAATTTATTTTACGTATGATTCGGGTTTGGACTGTAGCTACATATATTCCAATGCTTGATGGGACATCTGTGCGTACATACCCTCAATTTGAGACCTCAATCTTGAAAATCGGTCGGTTAGAAGAAAAAAACGAACTCGGAAAAGAGAAACAAAATTTAACTTCTATAAGAAATACATGGAGAGGAAATTTTTTTTACGTATAAACCAAGTGGGGTTATAGATAAATATTTGCCGATGCTTGATGGAAAATCTGTGCGTGCATACCTTCAATTCGAGACCTCAATCATGAAAATCGGTCGGGTAAATGAGCCAAACGAACTCGGCAAAGAGAAACAAAATTTAACTCCCATAAGAAATACATGGGGAGCAAATTTCGTTTACGTAGAAATCGCGTGGAATTATAGATACATTTATGCCGATGCTTGATGGCAAATCTGTACGTGCATACCTTCAATTCGAGACCTCAATCATGAAAATCGGTCGGGTAGAAGAGCCAAACGAACTCGGCAAAGAAACCCCAAATTTAACTCCCATAAGAAATACATGGGGAACAAATTTCGTTTACGTATAATCCGCGTGGGATTATAGATACATTTATGCCGATGCTTGATGGCAAATCTGTGCGTGCATACCTTCAATTTGAGACCTCAATCATGAAAATCGGTCGGGTAGAAGAGCCAATCGAACTCGGCAAAGATAAACCAAATTTAACACCCATAAGAATAACATGGGGAGCAAATTTCTTTTACGTATAAGCCGAGTAGGATTATAGATAACTATATTCCGATGCTTGATGGCAAATCTGTGCGTGCATACCTTCAATTTGAGACCTCAATCATGAAAATCGGTCGGGTAGAAGAGCCAATCGAACTCGGAAAAGTAAAACCAAATTTTTTTAATATATAAGATTGCATTGTCATGCATTTGTGAGCTATGTTTCAAATTTCAAGTCTCTAGCTTATCGGGAACATCGTTTAAAATTGATATCAAAATTTGTAGGAAAGCGAGCTAATAAAAACAAGCCCATGGGGCGTAGCCCGAAAGGAAATATGAAAATTAAATGATATAATATTGCAATGTCATCCATTTGTGAGCTACCTATGTTTCAAGTTTCTAGCTCATCGGGAAGTATCAAAATTTGCAAGAAATCGATTTAATAAAAACAAGCCCATGGGGCGTAGCCCAAGGGAAATATGAAAATTAAATTGTATAATCTTGCATTGTCTTCCATTTGTGAGATATGTTTCAAGTTTCAAGTCCCTAGCTCATCGGGAAGTTAGTATAAAATCGGTTGCAAAATTTGTAGCGGACAAGAAAGCGACCTAATAAAAACGTTTTAATTAATAATAAAAACATTAGGATAAAAAACAATAATATAATGGAACAAAAACCATTGATAATTTTCTTTCGTTGTTTACGATGGCTCTCTGATTTGCTTTACTAAATTTTGGAAGAATAGTGAGGAAAAACAAGCTGTACCAATATTAGTGTGTCCTTTATCCCTTTTGTATAATTATTTTACTGAACCTTATTGACCCTTTGAGGCATTAGTCAGAGAAATATAGGATAAGACCTTAAACAAATTGCAAGAAAACTTTTTATGGTTTTATTTTGTAGTGTTGGGTTTGAAGAATGACATACTAAAAATTGCCAAAAATCGGTGCATGAGAAAACCACTAAAAACACAATTTAAAATGGCGGCTTTTCCCAACATTGGACAAATAAAAAAAACACATTTCACATGCATTTGTTATGCACATTTTTCGGGATATTGACTTGGGACCGCCACCTGTATTTATTGGGTGGTTAGTACTTCATTTTAATAGGGATCTCGATTTTGGTCGCCATCTTGGATACGCCATATTGGACATAGATAATTTTGTCAATGTAATGATAGTGTTGTGACACATCATTACAAACCAAATTTTAACACTGATTTCAATGCCGAAATCCATTTTCAAAATCTTTTTTCATTTAGAAGACGAAAAATCTCCCCAATACATTTCTTATGGACGTTTTGTAGTTTGATAATTTAAAAAAAATATATATCTTATATCTCCAGTTCTTATTAACGCTTGTAGTTCGTTCTAGGCTTAAAATATTCAGCAATGTAAGGGCTTTCATTTGAGCTCTTGAAGATTAAAATCAGACTAGTTAAAGACCAGCTACGAACTTCAGAACAATATTAAATTTAACTTTTTAGAAATACATTTTTATTAAAAGATTTATAACTCAGGTTGTTAATACGTCACCAAGTTCTTTCTGGTCTCAAATTACTCAATAAATGTTTGGCTTTGATTTTATTAAGCATTAACCAAAATCTGACAATTTTAAAATGAGTCATGGACCTTAATTTAACATTAAAATGTATTTATTTCGAAATTTGTCTTTAGTTAAAGACGTATATCCCCAATTCTAAATAACTCCCAAAACTCTTATAGTCTTAAAATAATTCGCCAACATATCGACTTTAATTTTAGCTAAAGATTACTTATTGGTAGTTATGTATACTTAGGGATATATGTCTTAAACCAAAGACAAATTTTGAAATAAATACATTTTAGTGTTAAATTAAGGCCCATGACTCATTCAAAGAAAATTAATCTTAAAAAAATTATCAAACTACAAAACGTCCTTGAAATGTATGGTGGAGAGATTTCGTTTGAATATATCTTCTAAATGAAAAAAATATTGAAAAACGAATTTCGGCATTGAAATTAGTGTTAAAATGTAGTTTGTAATGATGTGTCACAACACTATCATTACATTGAAAAAAATTATCTATGTCCAATATGGTGGATCCAAGATGGCGGCCAAAACCGTGATCCCTATTAAAATGAAGTACTAACCACCAAATAAATACAGTTGGTGGTCCCAAGTCAATATCTCGAAAAATGTGCATAACAAATGTATGTGAAACATATTTTTTTATTTGTCCAATGTTGGAGAAAGTTGCCATTTTAAATTGTGATTTTAGTGGTTTTCTCGTGCACCGATTTTTGGCAAAATTAGTATGTCATTCTGCAAACCCAACACTACAAAATAACACAATAAAACGTTTTCTTGCAATTATTTTAACGATCCTTGTGTAAGTTTTTTTAGTTTGATTTGACTACTTACATAAATCCTTTGAAACTAGGTCAAATCTTGAATCCACTCGAGGGGAGTGGCTTGTTCTGATCTGTTTCATAAAACCAACCTTTACTCATGTAGCCAGTCTTATTGTTTAACAATAGGAGCGTAAGGAGTTAGGCTTGCACAATTGAAATGGTATCAAATTAAAATGTCAAGACAGACTTAGTGGAACTGCTTATGCCTCTGATTCCTTATATCTGCCACATGGTATGAATTTTCACCTTAAAAATAGCAAACAAAATGTTATAAAAGGTGAGGGGCAATGTTAAACTAAAATCACAATGTCATTGCAACAATAACATTTTAGTATTTGAATTATTTACTTGTTTTTCAGCCTCGGAACTTACAAGACCAAGTGGAGCACTTTCATCCTGGGAGAAACGCTCGGCTCATGTACCTATTATAGAGTCTTCCAAACTACCACCAAGCAGACCAAAGGTGGGTTACACATCATTGACACTAACAGGGTCTAAAATCATGGGTCACAACCCTACCTTCATGTTCATTTTTTTCATATCCAAAATGGCGGATCCAACATGGCTGTTGAAAATTTTAACCCTTTTAAAATGAAGTACCGGTACTATTAATTAAACTATGTTACTTGGTAGTAGGCTGTTGATATCTAGACCAGCTCGCTCCCAATATCACCTGTGTGACACCTGGTCCTGGTAGTGAATGTGTTAATGATAGTCTTCTCTAGGAATCAGCTGATCTCGGGAGCCAGCTTTATCCATCCATTCTAGCCTCCATAATTAAGTCATCTATACTTTTAACTGCACTACACAGTGTGTTATTCCTAGTGCAATAATTTAGTGAAATTAAACAGAAATATTTTGGAAACTTTTTTAATTTTCCATATCTTAAAATTATTTTAATTTTGTACTACTGTCAGTAGTTTACATTTATTTTAACTGTGGCTTTTTATTTCAGAGCGCTCCGTCATCAACAGAAATGAAAGTGACAAAAGACTTGTATCCTCCTTGTTATTTGGGAGTATAAATCGGGAAAAATGTGAATCTATTTTTGATACAATTTTATCTATGAAATTTTTTGTAAACCGAAAACAAAAACAGCTTTAAAAGAGCAGAAAATGTGACAATACAGTATTGTAATAATTAAATAAAATCATTACAACATAAATAACAATAATAGATTTGTAAAGTTTTTTTATAGTTTTTTTATCATTTACCAGTACATTGTGATCTTAGATTTTTACCTCAGGAAAAACCTTGACTTTCTATCTTAGAAAATTATGACAACTAGATGATAAGTAAAACTACATCTCATTTAACAATTGTTTAATGCTGCTCAGAAGTCGTCAAATAAGGATCAATCGGAGCATCAGTTAAGGCCACAAGACAGTTTACGACGCCTGAGTCCTCTACCTGTCAATGATCGACAACCTTACGACAAGCATCATGAACTTGACTACTCGCGCTCTCTGGCTCGCGAAAGGTCTCCAGAGGTGAATTATTTCAGAATCTGCATGATTATTGTTACAATGTGCATGATTGACAGCACAGAGGAGTGCAAAATGTACCACTTTTGGTCAAGATGGCCTGTCTTCGATGATGAACTTCTTTGATTGCAATCTCATCATATTTTTTTGTTTTCATGAGATGTCTTTGTCTATCATCCAAATCAATAAACAAAATGGTCAATCGTTTAAATTAGCTTGTCCAGAACTATTAGGTGTTGGGTTTATTGTTGGAGCAGTAAACCATTAGGTGTTCAATGGTTAAGCGATCTCCTTGGGAGGAGACAACCCTGCAGAGCAAGTGTTAGAATCCTGTCTCAGGTCAGGTCTGATGTGCCATTTCTGAGGAGTTCACCTATGGAAAAGGTAACTAAACTATATCAGAGCAGGACTCAGGAAGTGTTGAGGATGGGAGAAATTTGTATAACACTTTGGGTTGAGCATTTAATAGTTATTTGTGCAACTAGTGAGAAAAGTGAGCAATTGACTCACTCGAGAGAAATCCTTACCCTTCCTTATCCTTGAGGAATGGTTTCTCGAGTGAGGCAATTGTACTTTGAACTCGAGTTGCACATTATACTTTTCCTACAGTTACCATAAAACAAATAAATTGGTGAAGAAACATAACCTATTTTTACACAGAAGTGAACTTTTAATATAACATTTAATGTGAAGTGACAAATACAACAGTACAACAGCTGACCAGCTGATTTACAGCCAGTGCTGCCAACGTATTTCGCGCGCATACGACGTTGCCTGCATGTTACGCGCTCACTATTTCGTGCCTTCACGTTGCAAATCTGGAGTGAGACAAAGTAATTAGAGTGAGACAATGTTAACATTGTCTCACTGATGAGTGAATTGGCCACTTTGCTTTCTCAAATCAGTGAGAGAACATGTACATTGTTAGGTAACTGTAGGAAAAAATATTTATTGCCTATCGTTACTTTGTGTGGTCCATTAGAACTTATTTTATAAGAATTTACATTTTAATGTTAATAATAGTTAAACTAGAAAAAGTTAGTAACTTTTGATAGTACAATAGAGTATGTAGGAGTGCTGATTTCTTCTCGATTGAACACATGTACATTTTAATTTATTTTTAAGGTCATCAACACGTCTAAGAATGTACAGGATGATATTAATGAGTACACAAAGAATGTTCACTCGCCGGTAAACAAGGACCAACATCATGATCATAACGGCTCGAGGAGGTGAGTCATATCAATGATGTGTTCTAAATCGCAAACTGCACTTGCTTGAAATAGAAAGACACTGGACCAATTGCCACTAACATGTGAGTTAAGACGTAGTCCATAGGTAAATTAAACATCGCCATTCTGTGTACACAAGTATTGCTATTGGATTAATTTTAATACCACTACCGTCTAGTGGTGTTGGTGTGTCTCCTAGTTAGTCTTGGGCTAGGGAGCCATTGTCTCATCTTTCTCATTCCCTCGCATAATTTACACAACAGCTAATTCACCTAAAAATTTGAAGTAAATATTTTTTTTTAAGTGTTTTCCTGTTTTAAACCTGTTCAGAACTAGAAGCTACAAAAGTGGCAAACACAGGGTAAAACTAAATTTTAGTGTTTGGCTTATACAACCAACACAGGTAGCACATTATAAGTAACAATTTGGCTAATGAATGAAACTGTACTAATGTTTTATGGACACATGTATTTTATAGTGATGATTCTACTGGGTATAATGATTGCAGGGATTCGTCCCCTCATGACTCTGGAGTGGAAGTAGACGAGCTGGATTGTAGAGGTCCTCCTCTAGCCAGTGTCTACTGCAGCGCTGAGCACGCCAAGAACTTGAAACTAGAGAACCAAAAACATCAGCCACTGCCTGATACTATTGAGGACAGCTTGTACAGGTGAACCCTCAGGCACCACTCCAGAACCGTTTTACACATTACGTTAAGCTATGCCAAGAGGGTCGTGGCATTATGGCATAGATAAAATCCATTGGTGGGGATTGAACCTCAGACCTTGGACATTGAAGTATAGCACTCTATCCCTAGTCCAACTCGCTCCCCCATATTTAATACGTTACCTCTAACAGATTGGGAAGGTAAATTAAGTAAAATATGGTAAAAGCAGAGCATTGTTTTTGTTTTGAGGATTTTTGTTGGAATAGCAGACTCTTCTGAGTGAAAGAGATTTTCCTGGCACAATAAATATGAATTTTAGTTTATGTTTATACACAATAATTTTAATTTTTAAGAGTCATAAACTTTATTTACATTTAAGCGAGACACAAAAAAATTGGCTCTAGGTAAAATGGTCTTGCTTCCAAAGGACCTGAGGACATGGCCTCAAGTAGAAATTCCTTTAGTTTAAATTCTAGAGAAACATGAAAATTGCACTATATTAGTGTTGAAACATTATTATCGAGCATAAACTGTGTTTCCTGGAGCAGGATGAACTCTTTCCCATTCCAGTAAGCCTTGTCAACAATCCATAGATTGGGAAGGTAAATTTGCTCTGTGACAAAAAACTTATTTTAGCGGGCAATTAATACATAAACATTAAAAGTAGGCTAAAAGATAAGAAGTAAGAACAAATAATTGTCTATATAACTAACAATTATTTGTTGGGATGAAGATCGCAACAGAGTTAACAAAACAAAATGTTGATGTTATTCACACTAAGAACGAATCTAAGTTTTTCAATCAATAACTTTCTTCCTAAGAACGAAATGACTGTAGTAAACAAATTATGATTTCAGTTTGTACTCACAGTTTTGTTAAATACTACTACTTTTGTTTTCATGGTTATTAGGTCACTGCAGCTGAAGCAAACAAAGCACCCTGGCATGGGCCTAAATGTCCAGCCTCGAGCCGCAGCTGTGGGGGTCAAAGGTTACGGGGCACCAGCTCCAACACAGTGTAGCAAACTTAAAGTGTACAGACCAAAAACTGCTGGCAACATACACCGGAGGGAGTCTCGCGATGAGCAGGTCCGTCCAAAAACATCTCAGCCGAAGCGGAAAGAGCACATGTCAGAAATAGAGCTAGCTTTGTGTTGGGACTTTAAACCTGTCCACCCTTCTGATGAACCGAAGCGCTCGCCACACATTGATGGAAGCAACGGAAGTGCTGCACCAGCTGTGTTTGCTCTGGTTCATCAACCTCCGACACCTCACGAAGATATGAGAACCCCAAGACCTTCGACAGGAGACGGTAAAATGGAGAAGAGACATTCAGTCGACAGTTTAAAGTCGATATCTAGAGAAAGCGCAGACAGGGCGAGATCTCGACCAAAGACAGCTTGGGGTGATGAGGTAAAAGCGAAGCAACTACAAGACAAACTAAAGAGACTACAAGAGCGGTCAAATCCGTCAGCAGTAATGGATATAATCAACAACAACACAAAAGAAAACAATAATCCGAATATCGTACTCGGCACAAGGAAAACATCATCCGGGTCCGATCACATGAGAAGAAAAAGTTTGAGCGGTCAACAATCTTTGAAATCATCAGATATCGATTCGCACAAGATGTCTAAGCAGAAACACTATCAAAGTTCACCCAACCTAGCCAACATCGGAATACAAACCAACGGTGACGGTAAAAGTAAAAATAGACTGCTGAACAACCGACCCTGTATGGCATGTGATGCTAAAACTTCTCCCTCCGAATCAGTCAAAGACGAGAAAAGGTCAAAATCTGAGTACAAAATGGCTTTCAAAGCAGGCAAACCGAACAACGGTAGTGGGAACAGTAGCATGAATAACAGTCAAGATTTAAGCAGCACTTCTTCCAGAGCGCAATCCTCCAAACCTGTTCATGTTCCGAAGATGAAACTTCCCTATGCCAAGAAGAGTTACTCCATAGGGACTCTGGCACCTCCGTTTTCTCTGTGGCCCGGGACGACGGGCCAAGATTACCCCGAACACTGGAGACTGGCCTCGGTTTATCAACATTCCTTCAAACCTGTCGAACTGCGGAGAAAACCGTTACTTCAGAGTGTGTATCAGTAGTCATTGGATAACTAAGTCCAACATAGAGGTGTGCAAGCAGCTTGACTTTCAAGCCTAGCCTAGCCTACAATCTCGAGAGATTGGGCACCAAGTCAAAAAATCGAGCTAGAACCAAGCTTTTATCATCGTAATTACGTGTCTGCAAAGATCGAAGTCAAACATTTCTCACGTTCACCTCAATTATGACGACGAGACTGACTGTGATCCAGAGAGACGATGATGATCTCTACACAACTGTCTGTCCAGAGTTTTTTTTTTTTTTTGCAATTGCAGAAGATGATATTGAGAAATCAAATCTATATAATTAATACGCTACATGAAACTTTGTCGGTTGAACTCCTCCGCCATTTCTTAACCGATTTTATCCATTGACGTCTCATTGGATACAGCGTGTCGCGTAGATTTGCAAACTGACCTTATATTTTTGAAAAAGTCCCTTGGGCTCTGCCCCAGTGGCTGTTAAAGTTCCCATGTTATCCTTATGAAGAACATGATTGTTTACATTTTGATCAGCTGTATATTTTAATTGCTGTTATTTTTCATTTCAAAGTCTTTTAAATTCATCAGAAATTATGATGACTTTTATTTGTTTTTAAATAACTACTTTACTTCTTTGCAATTGCTCGATTTCGAGCAACGTGTTTACTAGTGTACATTATACCAAGTTTATGAATACAAAATACAGTTTGTCTAATAGATTTTAACATAGCATTTTAAAAGATTTGTGACAAACTAACTTATTATTTTGCAATATGATAAATCTATTTTTTTTTTAAGATTGGCTTGGTAAAAGCTCAGTTTTCACACCTCTAGTGCCGCTTGATGTGGACTTAATAAATCGTAATTGTTATACAGTAATAGATTTGTGTAGGGATAAAAGGTATGAATAATATATTTCCAAAATGAATAGCAGAACAAAAAAGTTTTATTTGAACTAACGAACGCGTATGAAATCAGTATCATAATGATATTGTAGATGGTGATACACACTATACAATGGTTCAATTTCAGCCATTATCTTAACTTATTGTTAACCATATTTTCCAAGGCTTGTTTGTTTGACCAATATACTAATTGAATCTGTTATTTTAAGAAGTTGACTACTTTAAAAATTAAAATTTTACTGTTCTGTTAACACAATTGTTATATGTTTTGTTTCTTTGAATTTTATTAAGTATTTAGTTATTGACAGTGTTAAATAAGTTTGATGTCATTGTATTTTAGATTTATGTTAATTGTTATGTTGTTACTCACAAGTTTACTAATATCTCAAAAAGTATGTTACAGCTCACTTAAACATAAATTATTAAAAGAATATGAAAATTTTGAACACATTGTATGATAAAATACTTTGCTGGAACAAAACCTTTCGGGCTGTGAAATAAGACAAATGTTTCAGTCAAGAGATTGTTGACACAATTAAATTAAATTCATGGCTACTGAAATTTGTATTTCGAAACTATGTGTAATGCACAATAATACGATTACGTTAATAAGATTTGATGAATAACAAAAGTTGGTAGTAGCCTATTATAGTCTCAAAAAGTTAAAGTTATATAAATAATTTTTTAAAGTCAAATGTAAAACTAAAATATTTTTATTGCTTAGCTTGAATAGCTGATAGAAATTAAATGTAGTAATCAAAAGTTAAAATTTCTTCAACTATTTTTATTGAACTTATTATCTTATTATATAGATAACATAGATTAACTAACTTGCTCACGTGATTTTGTAATAGGTCAATAATAGCTTGTACTCTCCAGATTTTTGACAGTTGTAAGAGAAATAAAACATTTGTAACTAAGCTGTTTCTTTTTTTACACAATGTTTTAGAATGGCACTGAAAGAAATGTAGGCAGGAGAATGGAGTTTAACAGGAATAATAAATATCAATTATCATATTTAAACCCAAATATGAGTAAAGGATGAGTATAGGATGAGTGGCGAGATTTTGTAGTCTTGTTAGCGACTAAGGCCAACATGTTCCTTAGACAAAGCTGTTTATAAATGCCCATACAGCCAATGGCATTTAAGGGACCTACAGTTTATAGTAGAATCTAGAATCCGAACCAAATTTTTGCCTTGTATTTAACAAATTGGTCTAATTATGAGGATAGTACTGCGGATAGTCGTAGTACTCACTAGTGCGGACGTTAATTCACACCAGGGAGACTAATCAGTGCATGCCTATAAATATCCACAATTTGTAACCTCCTAGTAGGATTACAGGACGACGCCATCGTCCCAGTCTGGGGATATATACATAATTGATTTTTGTAAAAAAATACAACCGACTTCAAACGCTCTAAAAAGAATGAAATAATTTGGTACTTTCCTGTTAAAGGGAACATTCATTTTTATCGATGATATTTTTCTATATATCGATATTTTTGTTTTCCTTTACGATATAAATTGACAGCTGATCTTTAGGCTAAAATATAGTCTATTATATGGATTAAGAAATGAAACTGTTCTAAGCTAACCTAACATAACCAAACAAACTTGCTGTATAATTTAAAAATTCCGTTTGATAACAGAAAAGACAAGTGGATAATATTAAACGGAGTTTTTAAATGTTTGGTTAGTTTTGTTAGGTTAGTTTAGAACAGTTTCATTTTAATATTTTTTTTGAATTATTGTTTGTTGATTCTGAACAATATTTATTTATCGTAATTGTCATCTGATATGTTTCAATTTGTTACAAAAATGTTACATAGCCTGTAATAGTCTTAAAGTTCATCAAGGGAATACAATACCTTGTTGATGAGAAATGTTTTAAGACCCCTCTTAAATTCAACCATGCTTTTTGCCGATTTTAATAAACTAAACTAGCTTCTTTTCCCTATCATAATATAAAAATCCCTATACTAAATTCCCTATACTAAATTATTTTCCTATTCATATAGAACATTTGTGTGTGTTATTTTCCTAATGCATTTATTCTGAAGTAAACATAAAATACAAGAGAATATTTCCTTTAATATATAAACAAAACAGTTCAGTATGTTTTTTTTATATATTTATGTTATCCAGCTACAATTGATTTTCAAAATACACACACAATATTTAATTTCAATCATATTTGCAGTTTGAGCCGCGCCGACTTGAAATACGTGAGCTTGCCTAATACAAAAGTTTACTTTATTGAAATTATTTTATTCTTTTTAGAGCGTTTGAAGTCGGTTGTATTTTTTTACAAAAATAAATTATTTCATGATTTTTAGTGACTGTATAATTTTTTATATATTAATTACTTGAGGTTTTTTGATAAGCAAAACTGTTTGAAACAATCAAAAGTTCCACAGAACAATCATTATTTTAAAACTGCTTGAGTCACCTGTTCACGTTACATAATCAATGGGTATGAAAATAAACATTTTTAGATATTCCTTAAGAAATAAAGAGTTGTCCATTACATTAGGCCTAATGAAAAAAACTAATTGTCTTTTCTTGATACATTGAAATGTCAGACATCATCGTTTCCTGCAATCGGTGTACTTCTACATTATAAAAAGAAATACAGTAACGTCTCAAGCCTTTTGGAACAATATGAAAGTTATTCCTCAGCTACCAGCACTAACAAATCTCTCAAAAGTGGAAAATTGGTCGTTAACACGTATAGTACCTTTGGAAAATATTATATGAAAGATTGGTTCAGCTAAAAGTGGTGTAAGTCATGTAGGGGGTTTTGTTTGCTGAAGATATAGCCTAGTCGAAATTGCAAATCATCTTCCTCTAGAACTTTCCGAAGCAGGCATAATAGTATTGATATGATATAGTAATTGGGTAGAGAATATCAATAAACATTCCACATCTGCAAATGCATGTTTAGTAATTAAAATATTTAACACTTTTAAGACAATTGACGATTATGCACTGTCACACTTCTTAGGTCGTGTTAGGAATAATTGCATTTAATTTATATTTAGACCTGTTTTACGAATGCTTTGGTTTTCACAATACACCTTTATTTGTCAATATCAAACACTAATAGGCTAACTAAATTTACAAACTAAATTTCAGTGAAGTTTTCAGCTATTCACTGAAACATATATGTTTTTTTAAGTCAGAATATTCAATACTAAAAACAGAATTACTATATACACAAATCAGATCAAACGTTAAAATACATTTTTTATAGTAACCAAAACAAAATGCATTTTTCTCAATGTAATTCATTTAGGCTCCATGGAAAGAAATAGTTTATTGACCAATATGAAGCAACTGTTTCATGAAGAATTGTCTGTAGCTTCATTTAATGGTTTCAACTAACAGCTGTAGGAATGCTATCATTATTTATTGCCTTCTCTGCACAAATGTAAACAATCTCCACAAATGTAAACAAAATAAATGTTGAATATTTAAGGTACAGTAGACTCCCTCTCGTTCGGCCATCTCGGGACAGAACCACCGGCCGAACTAAAAAATGGCCGAACTAACCGATGATATATAAAGAAGACTACTTTTTCTGCCGTAAATGGACTTACTGTACAGTATAAGGGATCTATACACTAAACTAAACCTAATTAATAAGACTAGGCTTAGGCTAAGTGTAGATTTTTAACTTACCCTCAGAAATGTTGGTATTGTTTAATGAAAACACGTACTGAACACTTGACACTCTACTGACATTATTCATTTATTTCACACACAATAAACATAAATAATGTAGGCCTAAATACAATAAAAAAGAATCCACACAACACTGAAATTTTACAGGAATGATGTTTAAACTACAGTACTGCACTGTAATGACAAAGTTTAAAAGAAATCAGTAATTTTTCGCTGTACCTTTTCTTCAGTTGATTTCTTTCTAGCATAGTCACGCCATTTTCTAAAAAGCATTAAGTCAACTGCTGTAGAACTCGTCTGCTGTTCGATGTAGGTTGTAGCCAGTTGCAGGGCTGCCATTCCCTCTGCGTGACTCATTTTACACTCGTCGTCCTCATCACGGTCGCCACCTTCTTCTTCTTCTCCTTCTTGGGTTTCTTGACGCTGTAAAACTGATTGAGCGATTTCTTCGTCGTTCAAAATTTCACTGTCCACCTCCTTTTCGACAGTTACCCGCTCCAAAACATCTTCAAGCTCAACATTTTCACTGTGTGAGGCAATTGCTGTAAATTATTTAGGATGTAAGTTTGGTCGTCTGCTTCACTTTCAAGGCTGTGCACATCAACAACATTGCCTTCACTTGCAACAACTTCTTCAACATTCGGCCATACCTTTCTCCACGACTTAACTAATGTTGAAGGTTGTACTTCGTCATAGGCCTTCGCTACCATGAAAATCACGTCCTTCATGTTGATTGTCTTTAAAACTTGGATAAGATCGGTGTTTTCATCGCTATCCAGTTTGTACAAAACTTCTGAAAGAAGCTTTCGACGATACTTTCTCTTGAAGCACTCTATTACCCCTTGGTCCATTGGCTGTTGGAGGCTTGTTACGTTGGGGGGCAGATAGTACAGTTTTATTCCAGACTCACAATCACATTCTAACTCATCCGGATGGGTAGGCGCATTGTCAAGAACAAGAAGTGCGTTTACAGGGAGTTTTGAACTCATCAAACGACTTTTTACTTTAGGCACGAACTCACTAATAAACCACTCTTTAAACAAATACGAGTCCATCCAAGCAGACTTCTGAGCCCGGTAGTACACTGGTAGTTTTGATACGTCCAAGTTTTTGAATGCTCTCGGTTTTGCTGATTTTCCGATTACAAAAAGGGGCAATTTATGCGTACCCGAAGCATTGGAGCAAAGTGCCACTGTGATCCTATCTTTACTGACCTTAAACCCAGGGGCAGACATTTCTGTTGCTGCAGCAAATGTTTTCCGTGGCAAGAGTTTATAGTACAGCCCTGTTTCATCGATATTATAAACCTGTTCCGGGCTTAGGTTATTCTCAGCAATAATTTGCTCAAATTTCTTTGTAAACTCAGCTGCACCAGCAGGGTCTGCCGACAGCTTTTCGCCACACACCCCAAGAAAATGTACCCCGTGTCTTTTTTTCCAACGGGAAAGCCATCCCTCACTTGCGACAAATTCCCCCTCCTCACCAAGTTTCCCATGTAAGATAACCGCCTTCTCCTTTAAGATAGGGCCACTGATCGGCGTTCCCCTTCTTCGTTCCTGCATAAACCACACCCAAAGAGCATCGTTCACCAATTCATTTTTAGGTTTTTTTAAAGTGCAACGTGATGAAAGAGCTTTTTCCGATTCAATCTGCGTACAAAAATCCTCGATCGATTTTCGGTTTTGACGCCAGTCATTCACGGTGCTTTTACCAACCCCCAAATCTGTACAAATACTTTGGACCGATTCATCTTTGTCTATTCTCTCTAGAGCTTGCAACCGCTGTTGCATTGTCACAAATGTACGTTTTCGTTTAGCACTCATAATAATGTAAAGTACGTACAGTCACTTATAAGTTAAAGTTCAGTTAACAAAACACAATTAAATCAGTTCACTAAGCAATGTCACAACAACTAATGTACACACACGAACGTCCGGTACTGTACTGAACAGTGAACACGTGTGCAGTGAACTAGAGCTAAAACGGAAGTCAGATTCTTATCTGCTTCCTTTTTATAGATACACAATTTAAAAAAACTCTATCCAGGCGGCCGGCCGAACCATTCGGAGGCCGAACCAACCGAGGCCGAACGAGAGGGAGTCTACTGTATTCAGAATTTTTCACCGAAACAAATATTATACTTAAACATAATATATAAGGTACCAAATAGAAACTCTCCTGGTTATTTTGGTGGTGGAACCACATTGATCGGTAAAAGAATCACAGAGAAATTGGTGAACATACATAGAAAAAAAAAAAAAACATCGCCACAAACAAATTGAGAACCTCCTCCTTTTGTTGGTAGTGGGGAAGTCGGTTGAAAATACAAGGACTGTTCAGGAAAAACATTTTGGAACAAAATAAAAAGTTTGTACAAGAAACAAAGAAAGTTGTATACATTTTAAAGAGCAACTAAAATACAAATTATCTACATAACCAGGAGCCAACAAAAAAATTTAGGCATCTATCAAAACAGTGGACAAACTTTGAAATTCCTATGATGTAGAATTCAGCCAAAGTAAGCTTGGTCACCTGGTGACATGGAATTGATGGTCCTCATTGTAATCAAAGTGATACGCTGCTAACCAACTCTTCATTTTGGTGCACAAAACAAATGAAAGTCACACGGAGCCGGGTATGGACTGTAGGGTGGGTGGTTGCGGGAAAATCTACTTGAATGATTGAAGGAGATTGTGCACGTTTAATTTGACATGTAAGATAAGGCATCGTTTTTAAAAAACAAAACTTTTGGACGTCAACTTTACCTCGGTCATTTTGAAACTGAATGCACCATTTGATCTATAATTTATTTTAATACTTTGCTTCTGCACACTTCACACCCTTGACGATAATATAGATGTATAGCTTTTAAGTGTTTGACCAACAGAAACAGAATGCCAGACTGGGCCTCACAACTGGCGGGACTGGGGAGCACAAGTTAGAAGCTATTTTAACTTCAACTAGCAGCAAAACCCGACGTTGCCCAGGTCAAAATAAAATTCACAATAATTGTAATAAAACATGTTTATTTTTTACTAATATAGTATCTTGAACTTAACTGATTCATCAACATCTCAAATGAAAACCTTTATTTCAAGGAGAATTTTAAGACCAAGACATGTAAAATAACTTAAATAAATATGAAGTTACGTATCTTTGATTGCAGATACGTTCTAAAATAATTATAATTATTCTTGATTCCTGATTCATCAGCGTGCTTCAGATACTTATAATGAATGGCTCAAATAAAAGTTGGTATTTTACTGAAGGTTCTTAGATCAAAACTTATAGCGTAATGTAATTAGAACTGGTGAAGTAGCCTACATATTTTTTTGAAGTGAGAATAAAAAAAATCTATTTTATGTTTTTTGGTTGAGTAGTGCAGTACATAAATGAATCATGCTAAATGGCAAATATATATGTGAATGCCTTTATTTTAAGACCAAAATTATGAAAATTGGTCGGGTAGAAGAGCCAAACTGTCTCGGAAAAGAAAACTCTATAATTTTAATGTAAAAATTGCTACAATGGGCACAAAATGACACTTCTGCTAGGACGGTTGGACAGACATTGAGTGGAGCGAACACATATGTACTGGGAAGTGTAAGATCATCAAAGTCAGATGGAAACGTTCCATACTTTTTGCCTTTGTAATATATTAATTACTAAACTTAAATAAAATGGGATTCTTTTCTTCCTTTATCATTACAGTTTACTTTTGTTTAGGTGAATAAATTATAACCTATTCTAAAGCATGGCCTGTTTAATCCATTTTGAGAAAGTAAAATATAATGTAATTTTTTTAACTAAATTTAATTATTATAAAAATGAAATATTAACATCTTATTTATTTATTCTGTGAAATGAGAATCTTATCAGAACACAATTATACACGTTACAGACCTAGCTTGAGTCGTAAAATGAAAATAAAAATAATATACACAATACAAATATTAATTAAGTATTGTTAAGTAAATCAGAGGTTACTAATCAAATTCGCTTAAACAATTCTTAACACAAAGTTCTGACATTGCTTCCTCATTCAATAAACCAGAAATAAGTTCTAGGCTAAAAACAACTTGTACTTGAGCATTTTAGAATATGCTCTGCAATGCCAACAGATGGAATATCCATACATCTTTGTCTTGGTTGTGTTTTTGGAGCTACTCTTTACCTCCGAAATCAGCTGTTAAGAACATCAAAATCTGCAAACAACTGGTGCCAATCAGCTGTTCAAGGTAGAATGCGGCTGTACTCTTGGAAAAATGAACTCTTCCTGGTGTTTTCAAACACTTTCATTGCGTAATGAAACCTACATCAAAATTGAACCATATTAGTGTAAAATGTACCAAATTTGGTATTAAGTACCGGTAATCTAAAGATAGCCTATAGGTATTATAAAAGTCAAAGCCTTCATTGACTGACTCACTCAATCATAGCTAATGTTCCAACTTCCATTAGCTAGAATGCTGAAGTTTTGTATATTAATTATTCAGGTTGCATAGGAAATAAATTTTGGCCTTTGAAATGTTCTTTTACGCCACACTACATTATTTTGACGAACTTTCCACGCAAGGATTTAGTCCAGAAAACAGCTGTTTGCCGCCAGCTTATTCAAATGGGGTTTCATTGCGTGCTACTATTCTGCAATGAGTTTTACCGGACACCAATCAGCTGATTATACTGTATTTGCGTGGCAATGAGTGGTTATAAACAAACACATAACCTCTCTTAGATGTTATGACTAGTGGTTTTTAGTCCTTTAGTTGGTGGAAATATATAAGGATTAGTACGGGTTAAGTAGTATGGCGTAAACTATCGTACGTAACTCGTCCAAAATGTGTGTACCGGACTCGTATGGTAATCCCGTACTCGACTTCGTCTCGCACGGGAACGACCACACTCATCCGGTAAACACTTATTTTCAGGACTAGTAACGTAATATACTATTTCATTAAAAAGTAGTACCCATTGTATTGAGAAAGAGGTGAAGTCTAGGGAGGTTGTCGAAGGACTTTTTACTAACATTCACAGTAAAATCACAATTCACCTTTATAAAACACAAAAACATTATCCTAGAAAAAAAATAGTTTGCATAGTAACTAAGTCATATTTACTAACACACTACACTGTTTTAACGAACTTCCCACACAAGGATTTAGTGCAGAAAACAGCTGTTTGCCGCCAGCTTAATCAAATAGGGCTTCATTACGTGCTACTGTTTTAGTTTTAGTTATCCTGTATATGACTCTATGTCCTGTCAAATGACATAATGACATGAAATAAATAAAACTGTACCGTAATGAGTTTTTACCGGACACCAACCAGCTGATTATATTTGGCAAAGAGTGGTTATTAACAAAAACATAACCTCACTTAGAGGTTATGAGTAGTGATTGTTGGTCCTTTAGTCGGTGGGAAAAGGTATTTGTACCGATTTTTTATTGTTAAGTTAAAGTTATCTTGGAGTAGTATGGCGTAGAATATTATATGTCACTCGTCCAAAATGTGTTCATCGGACTTGACTACGTCTCGTGTGGGAATGACCACACTCTTCCTATTTTCAGGACTAGTAAGATAATATACTATTAAGGCATTCAAAATGTTTGAAAAATACAAATTTTTCACCTTTGTAACTTTTGTAACACTACTGTAATCTGCACAGTTTTTGAAATATTCCATAAAGACCAAAAGCAACTAATTTTTAAACTTTTACCCCCCTCCCCCCTAAACCTGAGGCTCAAAAGGGTGTATTTTTTTACCATACATTACGAGGGCTGTATCGAATTATAGGTTGGAGTTGAAAGTTAGCTTTCTCTTTAGATGTTGAGGTTAGGCGTTTTTTTTTTTTTTTTTTTTTTTTTTTGCATAATTGTATCGTATTGTACCCTACTAATAGTCAATAGATATAATAACAATAAGCTAAGAAAAATTACCAATTTTTCTCCGAGAGTTGAGTGGTAGACAGCTGATATGTTGTGATGCCAGTGAGTTGTTGTTTCATCTTGATAATCAGATCCTCATATCCCGGATGACCTTGGAAATGGCCATTAGGTTCTGAAGAAAAAAAATACTTTTAATATTAAAAGGCAATGCAAACAAAAGGTTCTTAACAGTCAAAAAATTTCCAGGACAGTAATAGTACCTATATTTTTTAATTAATAGAGCTTAAACATGATTTACTCATTTCACTACCCTGGCTTTGCCTTGGTTATTAATCTACAGCTTGTGTCAAACAAACATTCTGGTCTATGTGATGAACATATTATTTTCAAGTATTCATATCATTTTCACATATTATTATTATTGTCATACTGCAACTGCACCATTCTTTAAGCTTATTAGCTCACAGTACTAAAATAAGTACTCTGTTTGTTTATTAGCTCTCAAAATGGTATCAATCTAATTTTGCCAATACAAACAGCTGTTAGGCCTCAGGTATGTAAGCTGCGGTGGTTGCTACGATACAAGTGGCACTTTTCTTAATGCTCATTTTACCCTGTTATAGGTGTAAGTTTAGTTCAAGATGACAAACTGTGCAGACAAAAAGGACGTAGCGCAACTAGTACGGGTATTTAGTAGTGGTCAGAGGCGTCGGAGACAATGGAGGTACATCTTGATCTTATCAACAAGAGGAGAGGAGTGTATGGGGAATACCACCATCTAATTCGGCAGCTTAGGGAAGACGGCAATAAGATCTTTGAAGACACAAGGATGTCCATCCCTACCTTAAAATACATTTTGAAAAGATTGAGAAAAAATTTTGCCTATAGGTTTACAACAATTCAAGCCCGAAGAAAGACTTGTCGTTAACTGAAGGTGTCATTTGAGTAGCAAGAGGAGTTTGTAAAAATTGGCAGGGCCGGACTTAGGACTTCAGGGGCCCCGGGCAAATTTTCTAATGGGGCCCTAGGATTTCAGTGTGGGGGGGCTTCCGGGGGGATTGGGGGGTATGGAATACCCCCCAAGACAAAGGGGGGTCCAGGGGTACTCCCCCGGGAAAAATTTCTAAATTTAGGCTTAAAATAGAGCAATTTAAGGCCAAATAAGCAATAAGTTATATCAAAAATCGTTCTTAAAATATAACTATTTTAACATATTTTTATATACAGCATCTTTTAATTTTATACACAAAAAATAAAAATGTTTGAAACCTAATCTCTTGCATTCACTATTTAAACAAACTCTGACCAAATGTTTCAATTGCTTTGTAGTACCAGTGACGGCATATTTGGTATGGTAGCATGGTAGGCTACCATAATATATTTGGATTAGAAGCATTGATATATTTTTGTTTATTACGTATTTAAATTATCGATTATTGCCGTCGATTTGTATTTTTCAATATTACTACAATGTAGGTGTGATTATTTGATTATTTTATTTTCATAATGGTTTTGGTACCTATGGCATTCTCGTTTTTATAATATATTTAAGTCCTAGCATGAAAAGTACCATTGAGGACTTTCAAGTTTGAGTTTTTTATTGACGAGCAAAATCTTGCAATGTCTAATAAACACTCACAAGCTAACTATTTATATGAGTAACTAAAAGATGTTTAAATGGTTCCAATATCGATTAATACAACACAAACATAGCATTGAATGCAACATTACTCACTTCAGCTTTGTTTTCGTACTGTTAGTTTGCAGAATTACAATAAAATAACTCAAAAAGCAAGACAATTTCAACCAACTTGACGTGACCACTAGTCTCAAAGGGAAAGGACAAACTATGGGAGTAAAGTGATTTAAATTGTTTTGGATAGGCGATAAGGCATTTTATGTGTGTGTATGCGAGTGCGTGAGACTGACAGGACTAGACCAACGATTACATCGTTGGACTAGACAGGATCCCTTATCAGCTCATTATCATTGATTGTTGCAGCTGCTTCTGCTTATCGCTTGTTTACGATTTCAGTCGACAACGCCCGCCCACTCCCAATAAATGTAATTTTTTGTTAACATCAGACGACTCTAGTTGTTTTAAAGTGTCTATATAGATGTAAAGAATCTTACTGGCGCTGCATGATTTTGACTCCAAATACTAAATTGGAGATCAGCATTTCGACGCATAACTTAATTAATTACTATTTTACAAAACCTTTAAATTGAACGCATAATATACTTCTACCCCTTAAAATCCTGATTGGTATATACTTAGAGGTAAAAGAAAAGAATGACATTTAATAAAACATAAACGGAGCAATGTTTTTATTTTTAAAAGTATTTGAGCTCCAGTGAATCTCCATTTAACACAACACAATATTACAAGTTACGTTCTACGTTGGGGCAAGAGTTTTCATTTTTATTGTATTTTTGCCCCAAGCGTGGGGCCCCCTTCAACTCATTCGCCGCGGCCGTACGTTCGGGCGAGCGGCTTCATTGAAACTGAAACTTCGAAACTTATCCATCACAGCCTAGCACATATGCTCGTGTAAACCAGGCCTAAGCGTGGGGCCCAGTGCAACTGAGGAAAAGTCCCTTAGGGCCAAGAATTTCGTTCCTAGTAATGCCTTAAAATGTACCTAACAATAACCTTAAATATACGATAACGAAAATAAAAATAAAGCTGTTACAAAAGAAGGCCATTTGGTAAGTGTCTGATAAACTTTTGAAGTTATTAATAAAGACTACTGTGCAAGGGGGCCCCGGGCGATCGCCCCCTCCGCCCATAGGTAAGTCCGGCCCTGAAAATTGGTCTGGACTTCGAACCACGAGCGACGCTGAGCAACAAATTATAGTTTGGAAATAGTTCAAATTATAATTTTAAGTCAATGCCGTGATTGTAACTTTCTTGGAACTGAAACAGGAGAATTTATTAGTCGATCATAGAGGTTGGATTCTCTCCCTCCTGGCTTACATCCTGAGCACAACTGAACTCAAAAACAGCTGATAGTGAGACAAAGCTGTTCTGAGCTTACCCTCATCAACCAGAGATGGCAACAGGAACAGATTCAACGGCTCCTGGTCCAGGGAGGTGGGAGTGAGGGCATCAATCACTCCTCCATTAGCAATCCCAATACCACTATGAATCTGCAGCATAGACTTGCTGAAGGCTTTGCTGTACCAGTCCTACAAAACATTGAAAGATTAGACATCTTTACAGCATATATTTGTGAAAGAAATTATAATGCTTCAAGTTTTAGATGTAGCAAGATGTGAATTAAGATAACATAAGACAACAATGGGTCATGGGTTTGATTTTTTTAATAATTTATAACTTCCATCTCCAGTTCTCAGTTATCAGATTTTTAACCAAGGCAAACTAAAATGGCACCCCTTATTGTAAACTATAACATCTTTAATACCATATAAACTTACCATAACAAATACTAAGGGCTCATTCAACAGTGTTCATTTTTAGTAAAAAAATTGGGTACAGCTGGTCCATGGATGTAATGTCAAATTATTCAAGTCACTCATACAACTCCAGATTTTTTAAGCTGTCTACATTTTTCATCATCGCATTTTCATATTAGTATTCCATGATTATGAATGTATGATTTCACCGTTTATTTTGGATTATGTTGACGGTTTACAACCTGTATAAGTTTGACCCTGGGTACAGAGAAGTCCTCCGAGCTGCAGTGAGTGTGGACAAACATGATCTGAGGGAAGTATTCCACCAGACAGTCCTCTGCAGATGTGTTGGTGGGGGGCTTCAACATGGCGGCCGTGTGGAGAAATCTGGACACAGCAGAACAGTAATGGGACTATGTTTTATAACTTCACTATTGCGAAGGATAATTTTTCAGACAATGCATATCAAAAACATCCTTAACTTCGTCGACTGCCGACTTTAGTCGGCGTCAGACGGTGTCACTAACGCTTCCAGGTGGCGCGCACCGACAATTGTCGGCGGCCAACCACCTGAAATACATTAAGTCAGTGTGAGCTCAGCCATTGCCGGGGAACATTATAATCACAGCCTCTAGCTTAGAGTGTGAGCTTTATTTTGGTGTAGGTTGGTACTAAAATTTTCTGCAAAATCCCGTGTGGCAATGCTTTTGTCCCGGTTTTCGGGATTTTCTCTCTTCGACCCACATTACAAAGGCACTGGCTACAGATCCAGGCAGTGCCTTTGGGTATTTCAGTGAGCTGCTCTTTTGTGATTCGTCAGTTTAAAATATTTGAATTACAATTGCGTTTGCTGATTCGGTTGCGCACGCACCGCCTTTTTAAAGGTTGTCAGCACTCAACGTGTTAAAATATTAAAATTGAAAAGAATAAAGTTTTAAAAAGTCTTTAAAAAATCTCACATTATAATCAATTATATTCATAAATCTTAGCAAGGTTTTAAATTTTCATTAAGAAAGGAAGTTTTTAAAAGGAATACTTTCAATGTGTATATTGTATTGATTGGTTATAATCAGGTAGCGTTTTTATTCACAAATGCTCAATAAATATAGTAACTCATATAATAATAACTAAGTTTGTATTTTAAAAAATAATCTGAACAAAAGCTAGGCTATTAACTGTTTAAATGCTTTGTTCAACGTACCATGCAAAATTTGCAGAAGTATTACCCCTTTAAACGCTAATATTATAAAATCCCATAACAAAAAAAAAACTCTACCACTATTTAAAACTACTAAAATTTAAATCCCAAAGCAAAACCAGAATGAAATTTACCCGAATCGCTTAATGTGTATTTTAATTTAATCTGGTACAAAAATTGTATCTGTAATCGAGAATTAAGTCAGCATCTCCACATCATAATCAAACAATTTTGGATCCGACCTCCGACAATCACTAACTGTAATTTACGACGCTAACACTCACCCGATGTGGTTGGGGTTGTTGAAAGTATCTTGTACAAATAACACAACATGACAGACGGACATTAGAAAGGCAGTCAGCTGTAGAGACAACACACTCGACAGATTCTCGAAAAACATAGAGTCCATGTAACTCTGTGACGATGACGGTATTTTCTGAAACATTAAACTGAATGTTTACACAATGTCGACTGGTCTGACTAAGCAAATTTTAATCCAACCATGTTCATAGATAAGAGGCATCTGAAAAGATTTTCAGAATACACAAACCCTTATTCTAAGATTGAAAGGGGCACGGTACTTTGGTATTATCCGGAGGCCACTCATTTTAAAAGGGGTTTTTTTACCGGAGGCCAAAAATAACTACATAATTGGAAAAAACATTTTAATTGACTTACTGTCCAACTTTTAAATGATTACGATTAGCGGCCTTTGAGTTCTGCCTCCCAGAAGGCAGCGATGTCGGCGAGGATTGAGTTTTAATTGCATCGCTGCCGCTATACTCCCCAAGTAGGTATACAGCGCGCTGCGGCGCTTATGTTAGGTTGGGTTATTATAAATATGTTTGTAGAACTTTCCTCGTTTCATAAGATTCTAACGATACCAGATGAGTCATACTTTCGCCCGCCAAATACAGGCGGTGACAGGTGATGCGTGCGCTCTGGTCAATGACCTGACCTTGGCCTACTTAGAGGGGATTTGGCATGTGAAAGTAAGACTCATCTAGTAACGTTCGATTCATAACAAAACTAGGAAAGTTCTACTATTTATGATAGATAACCCAACCTAACATAACGAGCGCGCTGTATAAGGGTGGCCTCCGGATAACACCAAAGTACCTAGGGCTGTTTTATCCACTCAGATGTTGGTCTTTGTAATTTTTGTTAAATGTAATTAAAATTACTTAATGTGTAGGAATTGTTAAGCATGATGACAAAAGACCAATTATTTGAAAACAACTTTAAGAAACACCAAATTTGTTATTAATAAACAAAAAACATACTTCCGTCTGGTGGTTATTTATCACTTTTACAATTGAAGATGGAACATTAATTTTACTTTTGGAAGAAATTTAGGGCCTAACCATAGGATGAGGTACTATACTTAGAGACACTTCGATGTTCAGCATGTAGCCTACATTTAAAAAAATACAAACTCTATGAGTTTTTTTCTAGTCTAAGCTTACCAATAAGTTGATGTCCAAAGACGTAGAATGTGACAGGATTGGTTGACAATCCAAGTAAATGACTCTGTCCGGGGAAATGTAGAAATCAACCCCATCTGTGCAGTGGTTCCCCTTAATTTGGTCACTCAGAGACTGTGTGTTGAAAATTGTGCTGGAAACAAACTTAAAAATTTGATTTTGCAATTAACAAATTTATAGGGATGGACGGGTCTCGAAATTTTGGGAAATTTCAGGGAAATTTTAAATCTTGTTCTACGAGACGAGATTCTATTTTGGTCAAGATTTTTCCAAGACAAGATTTTTAAAAAATTGTAAAAAATTTAAATTTTAAAAAATACTTTGCAAAGGTGTATCAATTAAATTTTTAAATAATATTTTAGCCTAAACAAACACACAAAGATATAAGAAAAAACTAGCAAAAAGCCTGATTTGAGTGTGACACACAAAGAATCCCTGGCAATTTACAACTGTTCATTTCAAGAAGTGTCCTTTTTTCACCAAAGCTCTGTCTCAGTCAGTTTCACTCCTTCAGGTACACACAATACTTTACTGAGACGGGACTCAAACACTCAACCTGTTAAACTAAACTGTGTCTTAGGCAAAGACCACTGGGTCGATTCCGGGCGAGATCATAACTGGAACCAAATGCCATTTGTCATTGTGCTATTGATTAATGCTGGTATCTAACAAAAAGACGACAATAGATCAACGTAAGGTTTGAACCAACACTAACCTTTCACCTACCCAGATATGATCAGTTGTTTGTAAATTTAAAAAAAAAAATCTAAAACTCACTTGGCAAGTTGGCCAGGTGACGAACCAGCGAGATGGGACATTAGGGTAGATTTCCCTGCACCCTGGGGGCCGACGCAGCCAATCACAATGAAGTCTGTCTGGTCAGTGAGGAACTCCAAGCAGGAGTCGAGCATTTGGAACTGATCATTGATGAGTTTCACAGAAGACGTCATCTCGGGAGGCAGGGCAAGAGCGTTTGTATCTTGACAAACATAAAACATAAGTTGATACAGAAAATTCCATTATGTAAGATAGTTAGGTTGAATTGAATTGAAATATCTTCAAATTGTTTTTATGAATCAGAATCTCCAATTCTTTAGCTAGTTTATTTAAGTTCCGATTTGATAACATGGGTTAGTTTCACTTGAAACGTACTTCAGACAGGAAAAATGTTGTCGACATACCTTATATAAATGTTTCAATTTTCCAGCATTCTTACCTTTCCGTGTTTCAAGATCCGTGTTTTATTTCACTGTTGCAAGATTTGTTTGTAATTTTTTAACAAAATTTGCTAAGAGAAATAGGTGTTATAAAAACCAAATAGCTGTTAGTTCTTTGTTTGAAGTTCATTGTTGGTGATGGTGAGTTAATATTGTTCAAAGGTTTATTGCGGACATTTTCCATCACGAATGTAAAAAAACAATACACAACCTATTTTTACCTATTTACCTATTTTTTTTTTTTATTATTTATTTTTTTTTTTTTTTTATTTACCTATTTTTTTGACTGCTACCTTCTGTAGTGTACTTAGGTTGGGCGTTTGTGTGTTGTTAGTTGTAATGTGTTAGTTAAGTTTTTTTTCACCTGAGGACGGGATCAGATTTCAGATCCCGAAACGTTGTGTATTGTTTTTTTACATTCGTGATGGAAAATGTCCGCAATAAACCTTTGAACAATATTAGCTGTTAGTTGTCAGATAAAAGTCTGGGACACAGCATCACACACCATAGCACAGAAAACGTACTACTATAACCCAGAATGCCAACCGCATGGTAAAAAGCACTAAGCGGTTTGAGAGAGCTTTGCCTGTCAATCGGTAGGCAGCGCCACCAGCGTTGCTATGCTATTGCATGGCAACGCTGGTGGCGCTGCCTACGGATTGACAGGCAAAGCTCTCTCAAACCGCTTAGTGCTTTTTACCATGCGGTTGGCATTCTGGGTTATAGTAGTACGTTTTCTGTGACCATAGTCACTAAAATCTTAACCAAGGTATATCAGATTTGGAAAAAAATAATTAATAAATTCAATTGATGAACATGTTGATACTTACTTTCTGAGCTGGAAGTTTTTGGAGCCAGGTGATATAGAGGTGCTGGAGTTTCATTCTTCTTTTCACCTCTGACAACAAAAGGTGTTGTTAGGGCTAGTTAGAATAGGAAAAAATAGTGGAATGATACCCCAAATTCAGTTTTTAAGTGAATATCGCACTTAGAAGTCTGAAAGTAATATGGGATTTTAAGTACACATAGAAAGCTGAATTTGAGATTTTAAATATTTTCAAAATTTACATATTGACCTAGATTAGCCCAATTTATTTTTGGCTGTCCTAATGAAATTAACAGTAAAATTTAAATATAGGCCTAGCTTTTAAATGTCTACTTACTTGGCCTACAGTTTTTTTTTTTTTAAGACTGAATCCAAAAAAGTGACTTCTAAGTGTACAAAAACAAAATCAAAAATAGCAAATTCAAGCTTTATTAATCAATAGGGAGGGGATGGACCTGCGGTTGGACAAAAGGTTGTTTTGAGGAATCGTTAGGCCCCAAGAGATTAAAAATGATTATTGGGTCAAGCTCAACCATTGGTTGAGTCGAGCCAACATGAGCATCTACTTTCACAATTGAAAGAATTGTTTGTGAAGATCCACAACTAAAATGGACGATATTATCGCAATAACTGCGGATGAGGTTCACAATTTTATCATGATAATGGGAGACCGCAGAAGATGATCTCGATTTTACAATGGAAGATATTCAGCGTTTTGCTGAGACCAAGGTAAGTTAGATGTTGTCAATTGTTCCATCACCGCAGATGATGTTCTCGATCTTGCCATCACAGATTCAAATATGTTAACGATTTTGTTGTTACCACTGAAAATGAAAATGATTAGGCCTACTATTTCACCATGACCGTGGAACAGTGCGGTACCTACTCAATATTAGTATGACCGTAGAAAATGTTCTCAATTTTGCTGGAACTGCGGAAGAAGTTCACAATTTCACTGTGACCGCACACATTGTGTCCAATTTTGCCGAGACCGTGACAGTTGTTTAATGGATTTTGCCGAGACCTCAGAAGATGATCAGAATTTTACCGGATCGCAGACGATCTTCACAATGTTGTAACAGTAAGTTTTAACATGTGATGACGGTATTTCGTACGCGTTTAGTCAAGCAAGTACTGTATATCACTGGGCGCTAAAATACTTCTAAATCCATAAATTCATTCAACTTATTCCAACAAAATATTGTAACACTAAAATCAGGTTATCTTGGTGAATTCACAATAGGCCTAACTTAATTAGCGAATTTCCCATACAGGGAATAAGCTATTACCGTAGTGCTCATGGTAAGACCTGGACGCGGGACCGATTTTTTTTTCGTTTTGAGGTCCCTAGAAGCCAAAAACACCATCCGTTCAAATTCATATATATATATATATATTTATATATTTATATATTTATATATATATATATATATATGTGTCCGTCAGCACGATAACTCAAGCAAAAATGATCCGATTTTGATGAAATTTGGCACAAACGTGTAAACCTACGTTTATTCGAACGAGTTCGCGATCCAGCATGATCGGACCATGGTAACGGGTGTTTACGGGGGGTTTTATGGGGTAAAAATAGGTTTTGCCCATTTTTGACCCAAAAAACTTAAAATTTTGCAATTTATTTCCAAACCATTTTGTAGAGCTTAAAAAAACAAATAATTTAGTATATTGAAGGGTTATTATGCGCCTAACGGTTACGGAGAAAATTCCAAAAAATTGTAAATTTAAAATTCCCATGTTATTCTTATGGAGAATAAGTAAACTGTTGTAGTTTGCTTGTTTATGAACATATTTTGATCAAATTTGGAAAATGTTTTTATTTCTTACTAACTATTAACATTTTACAAAAAAAAAACAATTTTACCCTCCTTGATGCAGCAAACCTAAGTAGGCTACTTGTTAAACTAATTCTATTTAAATCGGGAATAAATGTTATATTTTTAAGTAGACATTTCAGTGTAAATCCAATCAGTCAAATGGAAATTCGCTTAGTCTGCAGGTTTGCTGCGGCGGGGGTATTTACATTTTTTCCTGGTAGGCCTAATCCTACAACAAATTATGCATTATTAGGCCTACCAGACTCTGCATAAAGTAGCCTCTACATATGACACTAGTTATACAACATTTTACCTGGCAGATCGCTGACTAGGAGAAACAGCTCGATTGTCCCCATCTCTGGTACGTAGGATTATTGTTGGTTGTGAAAGAGGTTTTTCAGCATTTTCTTGGGGTTTATTTTTTCCACCTTTACCTTCTTTATCTCCATCTGGTTTGGTCAAGATTATAGGCAACCTTCTAGATCCGTAGTTTTTCTCTTCTCTTTCCTTAAAAAAAAAACCAGGACATAATATTCAAAATTACCCGAAAATCTAGAGACGGAAAAAAAAATAGTGATCTTTCCTCTGAAATAAAAGACATAGACCGAAGAAAACCCATTAAATGGACTTGCAATCCCCTCAGTAATTCAACCCTAATCGTGATAACTTATATTATTGGCCTATAGTGTTTTCTGCATCCTGGCAAGCCAGATTGGCCTATGCCACGATGCAGAAAACACAATAGGTCTACAATATAGGTTATCACTATTAGGGATGAACTTATATAGGCCCAAAGTGATGAAATATGGAATTTGTTAAAAGATTCATTCCAGACTAGGGCCATTAAGTTTGTTCACTATACAATAAAACTGAAACTAATATGTCCATTCCATAAAAAACCAATAAAACACTGGCAGTCCACATACGAAACACGATGCCAAGATTGTTATTTGTTTGGGTCTTTTAACCAAATTATTAACTTAGTCATTAATTACCTTAACGTATAGCCTACTATAAATAAACCTAGGCTAATTAATCTTTTTTGAGAATGTTGATGAGTAAGCCTTTCTTTTAAATTATTATTATTAAGTTAGGAATAAGCTTACCTACAAAATTCTTAAAATACTCTAGGCCTAGTGAAATTATTGCAGAAACTGTTATACACTGTTGTACTTTCTGTTCTGTAGGCCTATTTACTGGATTATGAATACGGTAACAATAACTATTATCTAAGTGACACGAATGGCCTAGACCCCTTAGACGACCTAAAAGGAAGAGAAAGAATGATTTTCATAACTAACAATAACCTTTTACTGTATAAAAAGTCATCCCTCACCCTGTTAGGATAAAATTTCTTTCTCCGAGAGTCCCGGCCTCTTTCTCCGTCTGCCATAGTAAACAAAGATTCTAAAAATGTACCAATTTCCCCGTAATTATCAATGTATTTGTTATCAAGTAACGAGATACATGAATTTTATTTAAAAAGGCTTCATTGTTGATTCTTGTTTTTGTGTTTGTTTCTTTCCCTCAGTTTCTAACTTTTCTAGGTTAAGTTTACAACTTTCGTCGTCTGTCGGTTGTCCGTCTGTCTAGCTCGCAATCGCACGCACGCACATTCACTCACTCGGACTCCACTGCGCTCCACTCGGCCACTCCAGTCGCACTCCAGCCCACTGAGCTAATCCAGCCCAGTCCTCCCTGGTCCTCCCACGTCACATGGTTCCCAACGACAATAGAAAAAAACTCATAGAGGAGCAAATCGTATACATTGGCTATGAACACTGAGCTATAATCTATAGTCCGGCCCCTTAGAAAACGACCTGCGCGCTAATGCTAAACCAATGCTGGAGGAGGTCGTTTTCTAAGCGGCCGACCTATAACTGGAGGTAGCACTGAATGTCAAAGATGCGTGTCACCAGCCGCCATGTTTGCGTGAGGTGTGAGTTATAAGAAGCCATGTTATTGGATAAGAAAACTCACTGCTATACCAACCTAGTTATAGAAGCCATGTTATTGGATAAAAAAAACTCACTGCTATACCAACCTCACAAAATCAGCGACACGCTTTTGACAGACTTCTGCCATGGCAGTGCTACCTCCAGTTATAATTTTAGCTCAGTGGCTATGAAGCGTAGAACGTTTCTCATACTATTATTTTGTATATAATATATATCTCGTTCTTGAATTTCACAGCTTATTTGGAATACAAAGTTAGTAACAAGATATGTTAAGGATAAAATGTTTGGTTTAAGTTTTTTTACCATAGGTTATACGATACGTTATATCAATTAATAAAAATTAAAGCACAAAACAATAAAACCTAATTAAAAATGTCTCTCGTCTTAAGTGGACTTAAAAATGTATTAAGTTTTGTACAACGTGTTACCTTTACCTTCGATGTCTTCTCCACAATCTGGTGATTGGGGAATCGTCAATATTTGATTGAAGTAGCTTTAATGGGCCCTATTTGAAGTGTTGGTATGTATGTTCTTCAGTGTATTCTGATAGTGAGTAGTAGGGTCTGACTGTTAATTACTCTTTTAGTGACTTTATGAAGATGTTTGGCTTGTTAATTTTTTTTATGTGTTGTGGCAGAAGATTGTAAAGGGATGATCCTGAGTGAGATGGTGATTTACTGGTTTTGTTTAGTCTGTGGCGTGGAAGGTGAATGTTGTTTTTGTTGCGGGTATTGTGGTTGTGTTGACTGGATCAAAGGATTGGATTTGAATTTACTATGAGGATTATGGTCTCCAGGATATATGTGGATGTGATGGTCAGGATCTTGTGGTTCTTGAAGAGTGGCTTGCAGTGTTCTTGGTAATTTTTCCGGAATATTGTTCTAATGACTTTCTTCTGGATCACGAGTAGTTGGTCTAATTTGTTCTGTGCTGAAGATCCCCAAGCCACAATGCCGTATCTAATGTGACTGGCAAACAGTGCATGATATGCCATAAGGGCTGTTTCTTCATCCGTTATGCTTCTTATTCTTCTTATTCTTCTTATTGCAAATAATGACTTCGAGAGCTTCTTGCAGAGGTAGTCTATGTGTTGATGCCAGCTGAGGTGTTGGTCAACTATAATGCCAAGGAATTTCGTTGAGTCTGCTTCTACGAGTTTTGAGTTGTTGGTTTCAGGTTTTTTTGTGCATGTGGGGGTGAAGTTGATATGCAAAGTTTTTTTGTTATTTATTGTTAGTTGTAGGTTGTTACAGATGGTTGTTACTTGATCTATTGTTGAGTTGATGATGCGGTTTCTATTTCCATTTCTCACAGTTGGGGTTATTATTGTAGTGTCATCTGCAAAGAGCACACATTTTTGGGTGCTGTCTAATTTGTCTGGAAAGTCGTTTATGTATATGAGGAATAGTAAAGGTCCCAGTATTGAGCCCTGTGGTACACCTCTTGTCACTTGTTTGATTGATGATTTTACTATATTGATTGATTTGGGGCTGTAATGATTTATTTCTGTTTCCAAATTACGGTATCTGGACATATTTTGTGGACTTGTTATGGGCTAAGACAAACATACTATTTGTATTTCAGTATCTGTATTTCTTATATGTATTTCTGTATATTTTAGTATTTGTATTTCTGTATTTGTATTTTCTGTATATTTTTGTATATTCTTTGTATGTAGCCATGTTGCATCATGCTTCTATAAGTATTGGTTATTTGCCGTTGGATATAAATAAATAAACATAAAATGCCATATATGAATGGGCCTATTACAGTATGCCTGGATTTCTGTTTGTCAGGCTGTTTGTGATTTTAAATAATTATTTTATATCTTGGGAATTTATCAAGATTTAAATTTCCAAATTTGTATAAATTTGTAGTGTAAAAGGTAAAAAGACTTAAAACTTTTAATCTCAAACTTTTAATTCCAATATGGCGGCCATTTATAATATATAATGTCAAATTTAATGAAAACCTTTAATTGTTTTCAAATGATATAGAATTAAAATAGAAATTAAATGAGGCCTTTGTTGAAATTGGATGACAAACAACCGAGTTATCAGTTTTTGCCTACATTCGGTTGCGCTATTAGATTAAGTACAACGTTAAAGATTTCCTTCGCCAAATGTTTTTCTGAACTATTACAATCCATAGTAGATATTGTCATCCTTTAATAGCATAAGTCCGAGATTTTTTTTTCTTGTTACATAAAGACTGTTTTGGTATTTATTATTTTTCCAAGCAACTGAAAACGGGTTTGGTTAAACTAAAACTTTTTAAACCATCACTTGACCTCTGGTATTGGTATTACGACCGAAAAGCGTAAAGCAAAAAATTTTAAAATCTATCCTTAAACATGATATAAAACATTTCATCACCATGAGCGCGCTCTCAAGTAATCTTTCTACAACAACTATTACACTTACAACTACTATTTGACTACAACTGTTTGACTTTACAAATCAAATCAGTTTATTTCCACAATAGTATAAAAACAAATTTAAAAAAATAAAAAAATAAAATACAACGTTAGTCTAGAAGCATTGCATACATTTTTTACGTAAAATTAATGTAAAATTGATTTTAAATAGTTATTAATAGTATAAACTTAAATACTAATTGACATGTGCTTGCTTAGGCTAGTTAAAAATTAATGTAATGGAAAGGAGTTGTGCGTGGGCTCGAGTTGTTACAAATTTGAGTTTTAAAAATTCGGACCTAATTTGTTATTTGATACGAGAAAAAAGTTTTAAAATTAAAAAAGCTTTATCTGCAATATGGTGATAACTTGAACTATATTCAATTCAATTTTTTTAGTACTAAATCTGCAAAAAAGGTAAACAAACACGAAGAAACGTTACACTTTATAGCTTCACATACAAACAACAAGTGACTCAGGTAACTTAATTTGTCCAATTACTAGAATTGTTAGTAATTACTATGTAGCTGTAATGGTGCTAGAGCCGCCTACTGCGCATTATAGCTCTCTCTTAACACTGAATTACCTGACGAAGGATCAGAATTACTAAATGGTAATTGCAGCATTTACCTCTTGAAACTAGAGCATAGACCGAGACATTTTTAGACATTATCCTAAAATGTGTTATTTTCAAGTCATTAAACGCATCTAGAGGGCACACAGTTAGTTGAATTATATTATAAGGCTTTATTTATCCTTTATTTGAGCCAAGGTTTTTGAAAATCCATCGGTGCATTCACATGTTTTGTCAATTGTTCAGAAAACTGTGTTGGGTTTTAATTCTAATAACGGGTTGCTGCCTATAAGAACTCGTGCCAAAAACAGTCACATCTTTTGCATACTCATACTTACACAATGTTCAATAAGCCGATAAAAAGACAAATTAATAAATAATGGTTTTAAATTTTCATGTGAAGATATGGGTGTTTATTAGTTTATTAACAAGTCAACAAGTCGTATGTTTTCCAAGCACATACATTCTTGTCACTGCTTCCGATTTTACAACTGGATGAGTGTCTATAACTATTTAAAGCCATTGATAACATCCATCATAGAAATAAAATTTATCACTTAATGAACCAAATATCGTTCCTTGATTTAAATTAGCTGTCTGACAGAATGGATTAATTTTTATGTAAACAGAGTATTCTGGCGAGTGGCAATCCAGCTCAGGGACCAATTAGAAGAGATGTTATCAAACACGGGAGACTTTAGGATGAAATAATTACTGAGACGGTTCCAATGTGTTTGGCCGGACAAATGATTTTAATAAGCTGCCTAATGGTTGTGTTGCGCCCATTAGGGATCTGCATAATGTGATGGGTAAAAAACCTTTCAGACGGTGACAACCAGAAGGATAGTTCTGATAACGCTGCATTTGGTGGTTTAGGTTCACTTCTTTGGAAACCCACGCGTATTTGATCACTGCTACTGGCAAGGGCGTCCGCAGGAAACATTTTCAGGTGAACCAAAACTTGTTCCGAAATTGGGAAAAGGCCCTCCCACAATGTTAATTTCAATATTACTCGTAAAAACTATAAAGTATGTGTAAGGACTTCACTTTTGAAACGATTCCAATATTTGCTCATTCGTCTCTACTACCTTTATGAAACTTTCAAAGTACAAAACTAATGGTCTATATCAATTGATGTAGCTTGATTGCATGTATCTCTCTGATTACCTTGTTTACTATTTATTGACATGATCTATTGCATTTTATGTATAATGTTTAATGCTCAAATAAATCTGTCTATCTATCTATCTATCTATCTATCAGTAATGTAAAAATTAAAAGCTAAGAATGCATAGGGTACGACTCAAGAACATAATTCTGGAAGTTTCTAAAGTTTCAAGTTTTTGCTCCGGAGGCCCTAAAACAGGCTTTTTTAGCTCTATTGGCATTGAAAATAATCAACCCCAAAGTCAATACAGTATGATTATATAATTTTATATTTAATCTAACAAAAAAATGTTATATTTAAAACCGGAAGGGAGGGGTCTGGAACCCTCCCCTGGCTACGTCACTGTCTTTGAACACCTCTCTTCTAAAAACCTAAACATGTGTTGGCCACTAAAATGTAACAA